AACGTTGGCATAGTAGCAGAGCAGTAAGTCATAATGAGAGCGAAAGTGACTGAACGTATTTGTGAAATTCCATGGTTCGTCGATAGGCGAGATATTACCCGTCTGCCTAGGCCGAAGTAGGAGGGTTGTCTTAGCGGACCACAGCCCCCAATCTTTGGCCAATGGGATTAACCTACAAGGCAACCGGACGAGGTAAGGCTTTTTGCACCCGTTGCGAACCGGTGACTGAACATTCGGTTCACACGTCCTTCGGATGACGAAAAGCCATACCAGGAGCCCAACGCTCACGACGTCAGGTACAGTCCGATTCCCGGCTTGCCTGCAGATGTACAATGTCTCCGAGTAAGACAAGTGGCAGGGACTTTATTTGGTGATCAGTCACATCCGGCAAATCGCAGTGTTATTAAGCAGACATTTGTGGTTTGTTATAGGAAGAACTGTTGTCAGGCCTAAACCCACCCCGTCCTGAAAAGCTGCCGCCGAAACCATTCGCCGGGAAATGCCCGAACCACCCAGTCGGTACCACAAGGAGGTTGTTTGACAAGCCAGCCAATGAACCAGACTGAACAATGAACATTGAACTTATACGGGCTAAGAGGCGTTAGTTTACAAGTCCCGTTGAATAGTTCGTGGGGATATCAACACAACAAGACTGATAATAATGTTAGTAGCAAAGTTAATATACTTTAAATATGAAAATAAGAGCTTGTCGTTTGTTCCGCCGTAGTCCTGCAATCCGCTTAAATTCGCGGCACCCGCAGTTAACATCAAATAATTCAATGGCATACTCCAGGTGTACGATGGAGACGTAGTGCTGAGAGACAAAGTGTAAGTGAATGAGCATGTCATCCAAACGTCCATTAAATACTGAGTCTTACAGTAAATGACAGGGCGTACTTTTATGATACAGTAATCGGAGTTCCTGAGTGAGCATGTCTTTGCGCATAAAACAGCCAAGCATGGTTTGTGAAGACGAAATCGAATTGCGCTTCTAGTCTGGTCGGAGCGGTCACTATGTTAATCAAATCCAGTGCTTGGATGATTGTGGTATCACTTACTGAAGTTCCCGGCGAGGACACAGACTGGGCGGTCAAGTTTCGGCAGCAACTCCAAGGACAGATCAACTGCACAATTTTTCTACTCGGATGCTGGTGTGTCGGAGGCCATGTATACATTTCCGATGATAACAGAAATAAACCACACAAAACTTGGTTTACATTAAATCAAATGCCAGTTAGTTTTGACTATTGAGGAAGTGAACGTGTCAAGAAATCAACTATGTCCTTATCATTCTGCATGCTGGCTAGGAGTGAGAAATACCTTAACTACTGTTCCGCAATATGGTGCAATAAGATATCGGAAAAAGAAAACATAAAATAGCCAGTATTACTAACCACAACATTGAAACTAGGATACTACGCCTATTCACTGCTAAGCACCGACAAGAAGATCGTGGTTAGAGGGGAGGCTAAGCGAGACTAGAAGAGACAAATACACTCGCAATACAAACGGCGTTCAGCTTGGTTCTTCACCAAATCAACAAGTGTATTTAAGTAAATGTGTTCAGCCCTTTTTCGACCTTAACCAGGAGTCGAAAGGCTCCAATGGATGCCAACTTCGAAGTAACAGCCTTCATTCCCCTCGCTCAAACCATCGGTTGGCATACCCTCCTCTAGTTACATCCACATTTCCGGCACTCAAACAACGCGCTTCGCGGAAGTCAGTGTGCTGACATCCGTAACCTCTGATTTGGACATTGGAGCCTTGTGTATGAAGTAACAGTGCAGCGAGGTTCACTTGCCTTTTTGCATCAAATATGAAATATCGAGAACGCTCCTTGCTCACACAGTGTCCCCATCAGACGTGCGCTAAGTTGTGAATACGGCTGCGGTTGTAGGTAACTAGCCCCCTTACGTCTTTTGATCTGGTAAGCCAGGTTTCGTAACCTTACAGCAAAGTTGAACTGGCGGCTAGGTTGTAAACTCTGCTCTTCGAAATGAGATTAATGTTGCGCCTTTGCAACACGTGGCGGAGGTGGGCAAAAGCGTCTCCAACTTTTGCTATACGGTTCATAATCTCCTTCTCTATTCCACTGGCTCTGATATAGCAGTTTAGATGCTTGAATTTCTCTACGACTTCTAGTTGCTCACCACAAAAGTCAGCGCAGACGGTAGTCCGTACCTATATTGTTGGAGTGTGCAAAACATAGCCCGAAACGCTTGGCACGTTTGGACGCCGTCACAGATAAGTCCAATATCGTCGGCATAGTCCAAGACAATAATTCACTCACCTGGAAGCTGATCCACACCTAAGTCGTTTCCAGTAAACGCAGTTACCGTGACTTCGTCGATGCCGAAATTAAAAAACGAAGATACGGCAGGCATCCCTGTCTCACACAGCTGGCGATATTTAAGAGCGGCGACAGCTTGACACTCTACCCGAAGTATGCGCCTAAAGCACTATGTTTAGGTTTACGTATTTCTCGGCCACATCCTTCATGATCCAACAGTCCCAGAGGTTACACGGATCCACCAAATCGAAGGTACCTTTCATATCGTGGAACACGACTAGGGTCGGTCACCAATATAAGTGACATTGCGCCAACAATTAACGCGAACTGAGGATGTGGTCAATGCAGCCTCAATTTCAAAAAATTCTGGACTGTTGTGTCCGATTCAGGCCTTCAAGAATGTCAGTCAGCCTATGGACAACGATTTGGAGGCGATTGAGTTCAGAATAATATCTCTATGACTATTATATTCCAACAGAGCAGCTCCAGTCGGTAGGGACAGTTTTCTGCTACCGCACTTTGACTAATAAATGGTGTAAATCGTTCATAAGATCCGATTCCCCGATTTTGAAATGCGTTGCAGGGATTCTGTCTGCTTATGCGGCATTATTCAAGTTCAGCACTCTGATCTCACGTTCGAATTTTACATTATCTGGCGGATCCAAGGGGATAGCCCAGGTAATACAGCGATCACTGGTCTTCAGCGAATCTGGCAGTTTTGGCCGACTAAATTGCTCTTCAAAAAGATGAGCCCAACGCACCGAACGTTCTGGCAAGTTGTGGATAGGCTGTACATTCTCGTCACACTCTCTATAACTCTAAGGCTCTAGCTGTCTGTTTACACTATCAGATGGAGTAAATTCCGATGGTTACTAAGAGGAGCGGATGTTTCCATTTCCGATGCACAGTATGACCATCAGGTTTCACTATCTGCCATCATCTATCTGCCAAACTACAACTGTATTCAGTAGTTTCTCACTCAGGCATGAAGGTGCGAACTGGACTACTTTTCCTTCGGCAGTAACCTGGAAATAAACTCCCTTATAGACAATGCTCATATTCATTGTCTGGACCGCTCGTACGCAGCCGGTCAATGATTGTCCCTTTGTTTACCTCAATTCCGTGACTCCCACTAAGTTCTTATACAGACTTCACACTAACGTTCAATCTCTAGTTGCAGTATGGAGTGTCAACATGCGAGCAGCATAGTATTGTTCGTTTTTCCTTGTGGAACGTGCTCACGGTATATATTTCACCGGTACCGACTATCCAATCGCCTTCTACTTTTCACTTGGTAGGCAGACTGCTAAGTGATACATTTTGACCAATGCAATAAACTGCATTAGCCAACCTCATTGTTCACTCAGAAGCTCTAACTTGATTTAAATCGGGGGATCTAAATGAAGTGCTCGCTCTGTTGTATGTACAAGCATAACCAGTATAGCCCCTGGTGAATGTAGCATACGTTACCTTAACTAGTATTAGTACCCCTCATTAGATTGCAATTGACTACTTTAATCACCTCTGTCGCACGTAGCGCCAGTTTTCCAGTTTCGAAGTCCAGCAGAATTCTCCATTCAGTGTAGTACGCGCATTCAACCCATCTCATTTTCATAGTCTTAGTGTTCACTTAGATTTGATACATGTCATAGTGAACTTAAGTTGTGTTACACCTAGGTCCGTTGTCAATTTATCTTTTAGTGAATCGATTCACTTCCCATAGATAACAGATCGTATTTAGTAGTAACTTTTGTAACCCATGCCTTTGCTGGTAGCCGAAAGGGCAAGGTGTCTAGGTTGCAGCCCGGACGTAAGTCCTTTGCTAATGGGTAGTGGACCGGGCGACCTTCGCAACTAGTGATGGCTGCGTTGCAGCGAAGCGTCAGTATGGCGTAGCGGCGTACTTCTGATAATTTTAAGACCCAGCGCTTTGTGCTAAGCAATCAATAGGGGTATTACAATTATTTTTGTGCTTTTACCGCAGCTCAAATACAGCAACCACCACGAAAACCTCCAGGGTTGCCTTCAAACTTCCCTTGTTCCCCAACCTGTCCTCCTAGCTACATTTGACCTGAGATATTATAGCCGCCTTCCATCAGGTTGCTACGATCCTTATGATCATGTATGAACTCATCACGCTGCTATTTAGTGAGGACCAGTAATACGGTAACAAACCATTAACATGCAATCTACCCACTGTCTCGCTCCTGAAATTTCTGCTTCCCTGCGCCTAACTGTTGGCCGGTTTTGTCTCCTTTTTATCACACATTCTGCTTCCCCATATGAGAAAATTATTGAGCTTTGGTTGACTAAATATTTCCACGCAACTCACTTTAACTGGAGAAGGGTGGAGTAGTACAATTGATTCAACTAGTGCGTTTGTTTCCCCTCCGTGATAATTTCTCAACGAAAATAAAGCGCATCCGATTGGATAAACTTCAAATCCTGCTGCGTCAATCATCGTCGGCCACTTCTTTCAGTTTACATAAAATTTAGCTGCACTGGATGCCTGAATTACGATTAATAATGACCAGGTGCTCCATACCTGTCTCAGGGCAAGGCACAGCTCAGTATCATCCGCTGCTCGCTGTAAACATCCGTTATTTGAGTTATGCAGCCAATGCCCTGTTTGAAAAGCAAACAGACCCACGTCTATTCACTTGCTCACAGTTGTGTTACAGATAAGAGTCCACATTCTCTCTTTTTCTAGACTGCCTCTTGGCGAGGGTATCGCTGGATTCGTGGCAACAACCGGTCTCCCAGTCAGAAGTAATGACACTTACAGCGACTCCAGGTTCTACAGAAAGGTGGACGAAACTTACAATCAAGTCACGAAGTCTGTCTTAGCCATGCCGCTCACTGATGGTCGGGAGTAAGTGATTGCAGATTGACGAGCACCGATGTTCTTGTTCACACAAATAATGTCCTGCTCTCTTTGCGGACTTTAGTTTATGCATATCCTTTAAATAAATTAATAAATGTTTTATTCCGGACAGTGCGGGACACGCCTAAAAAGGCATGATCATAGTAATACAGATCGTAAAATCAGTAATTGTCGCAAGTGTTACTATGTAACCAGTGCATACTGGAGTTATGTTTTATGTAGGTATATGTAAGTGCATGGGTTAGTAATCATTTTGAGTCAATGTGTTACTGTGGTGCTGAAGTTGTGGTTGTGTTCGGTGAATTCGCCAACATAGGAAGTGCTCAAAATATATCTTCGAATTGGCTGACGTCCGTGAGTGGGGTAAAATCCTCCGGCAAGGCAGGAAGCAGTGACTTTATTTAGCCACGTCACAGTGTTGTTAAACAGATATTTGTGGTTTCCTCTGGGGAGAACGCACGCCAGGCGAAAACCTACCACGTCCTGTAACACTGCCACTAGAACAGGATTAGCACGGACCACCCAGTTAACACCACGTGGAGGTTGTTCAGCTAGCCAGCCTGCTCTGCTCCATAACTATAGTTGTTGTGTATCACTCACATGAGAAACTAGGTCGTGATGTAGCAGATCGGCATGCGTACTTTAATCGGTCTTTATTTACTTTTCAGAGTAGTCGGAGTAATCGAAATGATTAATAAACATGAGGGAATTTTCACGGAAGAAGACGAAAACTTGCTAAAAATATATTCAATCTACTGCGGTCTTGCTATCAACGTGGCTCGGGTGAGTGCAAAATCAGGAGTGTAACTGGCAAATATTGTGTAAATAGGTAGGCGTGCGTCGCCATTTTCCTCTCGATATGACGTAAGACTTGTCGCTGGTGGCCTATGTCCAAATTACTAGTACAGCTATCTGTAAGCCACTGCTTGGTTGTGCTAAATTTTCTGCTAACATGCCATTACGTCGACAAGCCATTTGTTCCCAGGATAGACACAACTGACACCACGAATTCATGTGAGGTTGACTAGACTTGACAACGTGGCAGAAACTGCCAGTAGGTTTAGCGTCTCCATTGTATGATGTAATATCTCTTCTCAGTTGAATATTCACCTTTCGTGGGTGTATGAACATATGGGGGCAAAGACTCCTCCTTCTCTTCAACTCCTCTTAAATGAATCTTTTAAGGTGGCATGAACTCCATCAACGTAGGCCCATTTGGTTTGTCTTCCTCAACAGTATCGCCCGATTGAGACCCATCGAAGTTGCGTTTCAGTAAAGCTTACGACAACCGAGAATCTACCACATTTGACACTGAGCTTACTGTGAGTGATAAGTGTACAGCCAGATTACATCAGGATATTCCCATGTGTCTTTGCTAAATACAAAGATGTTGTATCCAAATTACTGCACAAATAAGCACATAAACTGCTCGGGTTCACCCCGTGTATCAATCGGTGGTATCTAATCGTGAAGCGTTAACCACCTGTACTGAGGCCTAGCTGTGATACAACCATAACCAGCAACAGAACAAAAGATAATAAGAGGAAGAGAAGGGAGAACACTTAATACCCTAAGCAAACATTCAAGGTGAAGGCGCCTACACCTTGTCAACAAAATGCCATCAAAAGCAGCTGGCTATCGTGCAAAGTAAAAGCGGCTTTTACTGCACCACATCATGATTATCCACTACCCCTCAGATAAATCAGCAACAAACACACCTTAAACAAGCAGTTCGAAAAGAGACGGCAGCAGACGCGCCACTGGCCTCGACTGCGAATCATGTCCTGCAACGTCTGGAGCCAAGCTCAAGTCGCGCCACGTGGACTTCAGCCTTGAAAGCGAGGGGGACCAATGGCACCAAGTTTGATAGTCAGTGACTTCATTTTCCGCTTCAAATTCAACTTTTGTCTACCTCGAGCCTCTCGCCACTCTACATTTGGCAGACAAAACAAGGCTTTCCTCGGTAGGTGGTAACCGGGCTTAAGTTGCACGTGCCCGAGCCAACGCAACTAATTCAGTGCTATCTGTTGATCTAACGAACTACCTTGGATCTCACTGCCTAGCACTCAGCTACGCACATCATCGTTACGGGCATGCTGGTGCCACCCGAAACCAGCAATGCACCGCAGGCAGCGCTGACTAAGGACTTGAAAGTGCGTAAGATCCTCAGACCGAAGTGGCCAAGTCTCACTCACATCGCATAGGACGATCATCACTGTGACCTTGTAAACAGGGTCCTTCCAAAGGAGGGAAACCGATTTCTGTCGCCGCAGCGATCGCATATACAAAAAGGCAGTTCTGACTTGTACAACACGTGAACTGACTTCAATTGCTATGCACCCATAGTTGCTGAAACAGCTGTCAGGGTATGTGAATTGATCAACTACATCGAGTTCCTCGCTACCTAGGGTCAAGGGATCGGCAATTGGTTGGTGGTCCTGCCGCAACAATTTGCACGCCGAAGATGCGCAACGCATACTAAAGAATGTGACCACTCTACTCAGGCTATTCAGGATTGCTTGAGCCGCTCCAACATCGTTAAACAGCAAGACTATATCATCCACATAATCATGGGCAACCAAGCGTTCACCAAGCAGCATCTCAGTGGCTGCATCATGAGATTCCACAAGGAAACACTCCATGATGGAGTCCACGACGAAACTGAACAAAATTGGGGAAGTTAAACTACCCTGACGAATGCCACTTGTTGTCCGAAAGGCATCCGACAAATCACGGTAGACCCTGACGCAACATGTAGCGTTCGAAAACAGAAAGTGTAAAATATGCACATATTTCATTGAAACACTCTTCCGCGCAAGTATTTCGAACGGGATGCATTGATCAACTGTATCGAACACACAATTGTCATCAAGGAACCCAGCTATTGTCGGTCTGTGGTATGCAAGTCACTGCTCTAACAACTGCCGCAGAGTGGATATTTGGTCGATGCAGTCAAGTCCAGGGCGGCAGCACGCATGCTCTTACCTTATCCGGGATTCCCGTTCCGCAGTAAGGCGGCGAAAGAGAATTGAGGCCAGTATTATTTTCGCAACTGGCGTTAAGCTAATGCCCCTGTGGCTGGCACAGTCCGTGCGTCTTCCCTTCTCCAGTATTGCCACTATAATCGTTTCATTCCAGTTGGCCGGCTGGGCCTCCTCCTACCATTCATGTTCAAACTAGGTCAATGCTTTACAGAGAACCTCATCATCATCCGTAAGTGGTGCAGGAAGGTGGGAATCCGGGCCAGTAGCACGAAAACGATTGAGAGCTGTGATCGCTTTTCGGACCTCAGCCTCCGATGGTGCCTCTAAACTTACCGCCCATCACTCATCCTGACGGCAAGGTCATCCACTCACACGCGTGACATACGTGCTCCTGGGTCATTTGGATTATTCCTCGCTATCTTCTCTCCATCTTCTCTCAGCGTTGTCGCTGTACGCTCATTCGATCCGGTATAACCAGCTCTACACAGTGATCCGTCATACGTGGGAGTATCTTCTACGATTAAAGTCCGTGCGATCACTAACCGTTTTCACTGTCATCCGTGATTAAGCACAAGCGGATAACCTAATCACATTCAGCCGATTGCCTTTCTAGGTGACACCACTCGATACAGAATCTTCGAGGCATTCCGAAAAGCCTAAGCTTATTCCAAGTCGGCGTTTCTCAATGCAACTGTGAAAGAATGTGTGATTTCTCAATCTGTGTTCAGCGCTATATTCAGATGCAGTTAGCAGGTTCCAGGCACTCGCCATTCATTGGGACCTAGTCAGCCAGTGTGCCTGCATAACCTATCACACGAACCGCGCGACCACGCCGATGGCTCATTAGACCTACAACCACAACGGTCGCCTGACCGATGTGCTCCACTCTCAAAGCTGGAAAAGTACAGAACGCTAACCAACCCACTGGGACAAGTAACGACACCACGTTGAATGGCAGAAGTGCGAATCCAAAAAGGCTCCACACAAAAGGCATTCGCGGATTAGGAGAATGTCATTGTTAACATAGGTTTGGCTTGCTCGCACTTTTTGGAGTGGTATCATCCGAAATGTGCAGACCTGTCCCAACAACGGGCGCTAGAGCGAAGTAGCTCACAAGCTGCGTGCTCGACCATCCAACTCGTTAAGTTCTTGCTTATCCTAGCTCAGAAATGCGACCGGTTGACCACAGAAGCCGAGCAGAGGATGGACGATAACATTACTTCAGTGGAAACGAGTATTCACCAGGGAAGTGTAACGGCTTCTAAGCAACGGAATGTTGCACAATCCGCTTACCCTGAACCGAAATCAGCCACTTCCCATCTCCGTTGTCTACTCCAATTTTGGTAAAACGCCGGGCGAAAGCTGACTGTAGCTACGAGAGTCAAGCAGTACTCATGTAAACACGTTCAAGCACTACCCAAAACGTCTGGCTACGCAACTTCCAGTGGACCAGACATCTAGCATTAACAAGGATGAAGCAGCCGGACACCAACCCTCGGTACCTGTAGTTCAAATGTCTCTTGTCGAGACAATTCATCACGGAACATCAGTTACATATGCAGAAGTTGTTGCAAAGGTAAGACTAATGGCCGCCATTGCGAGTTCTTCTGTTGGAAACACCGTTAAGGCGAATAGATGGACGAACAGAAAGCAATCAACACTTGTCAGCAGGTTAGGACAAACGATTACCGTATCTTGTAGACCAAGGAAAAAGGTATTCAACAATAGTGCCTGGACTGTTGTATGCTCAAATGTCCCCGAACCTACTGCCATCACATTACTTGCTAAGTCATCGGACGACCAAGATCAATGGAAGTCATTGTGCGTGCTGATGAGTGTAAAAGCCAAACCCATAAACCTATTACGAATTATTCGTCATCCGAACTCGCCACACTATGGAGAACGCAGACTTATCTGAGTAACACTAGAACCCTCCACCGACGTAGAAACGTTTTGCTCTCCGCAAGCGCGCTGACATGGATCCTGTGGGATACGCATCTATGCTGATGTCCCTTGGAGGGCGCGGCAATCAAAAAGAAAGGCCGAAGTGGGACACAGCAAGCAAGACCGCCTAAACACAAGCTTCATACATGGCGTGCTAGAACAACCTTCTAACCATGTTCAAGAGGCCGGAAAACACGATTTAGAACAGTGGCGGTTCCTTCGTGGAACGCTTCTTTGGATAATGTTGTGGCGGTATCACTCACCAGGATACCTCACTCACCAAATTATAGAGGATGCGGCCATAGAATCCTAAAACTTATAGTTCAGTCAACGAAAAAAGCAACGGATGTCTTGGATCGATAGCGGAGAAATCGGAAAAGTCTTCCTTCTGAACTTCGGTTAACGGTCGCAGAAGCTTTGCAAAATTCAAATATCAAAGCACCTGAAGCAGCAAACGTACCGACGATGATACAGGAGATTAACTTGCCTGCTGCTTTACTTGAATCTGACGTGGTTCTATACGATGACTAGGACGCACCTTGACCGAATCAAGTTTCGGACGAATGCTCAGGGTCTTTTTAGTAAACTGGCCGAACTGAAAGAACACTAAGGTTCCGGGTCATATGATGTCATCGGTATCACTGAGAGGTGGTTACACACGGGAAGAACGGACCCTGAGATTTCGCTACCGGGCTTGTCGTCCATCCGGAACGATAAGCTCACAAAAACTGGAGGGGTTAACCTGTATTACCGAAGCGACTTACATTGCGAAGCCTTGTAGGATTCAGACACGCAGTTCCCCGACTCTCTTTGGTGCCGCTTTCAGCTAAAATGTAGAGACGCTTGCCTTATTGT